AAAAAATATAAAAAATTGCAACTTCACAAATTATTATATTATTATGATACTGCATGAAGCATTTCGGATGTAAAGCCACTTCGCCTTTGAATTTTATTTATCCACCACAGTTATAACCACACCTACGTTCAGTATTAATAGGTACTACCCAACGATCCTTGTTATCATAAAAGGTACCAATAATGGTTTTATAAAGAAAATTTTAACTCCTGAATTTGAAAACAAAGTATATCTACTAATAAATAATTCGACTCTCCGTTTACATTAATGCAATCACTCACCAATATATGTATATAATTATACAAAAAATTCCCTTAGCTAAAAGAGTTAAGCAGTATACTTTCTTATTTTCGTTTTTATTCACATAGGAATTTTTGGGAGAGGGGAAAAGTACGCAAAAGATGTCTACCTGCTTTTTTATAATGTATTTTTAAAAGCAGGAGTTATTTATTTTTTCTTATATAAAGTATAGGAAAAAATATTAAGAATTTTAAAAGCGGGAGTTTTATTTCTGTAACTTGTTCCAGTCCAAAGTTACAGAAATTATGTACACTTAACCGGTATGTACACACGATTTACACGGTACTCTATTTACACGGTTTCGGTTTAACACGGTCGGAGAAATGGGGAAAAACCTCAATTTACACGACACTATTTCAGTTTAGCACGGTCACATAAATTAAAAAAAAAATCTTTTCAAGATTTTAAACCATTGCTAAGTAACACTTTTTATTTAACAGTAAACTTAAACAGTTAAATAAATTATGTATGTACAAAAAAGTAGTTTTCAAGGAAGAAATTTTTTTTAAATTTAAGTAGGCGTAAGATTTTAAACCGTTGCTAGCTAGCACTTTATTCTAACTTCAATATATTGTTGAATAAATTATGTGTACATATTTCAGTACATATTTCTTTTCGAAAGTGTAAGTTTTAAAAGAAAGTGTTCTTCAATCATAAATCACTAACATTCGGTAAGAGTTCATAATAAAAAAAATCTATCTATTTTTTACATTATATACAAAACAAAACTTGCATATGGAAAATGAATCAAAAAACACTCTGAAATTGGGGAAATTAGTAACAGTAGTGAAGAATTTCCGAGAAGAAACAAGAAAAGAGCTGTCGTGTTTCTAACAAGTGAAGATGATACATAATGAACTTTTTAATTTTTCTAATTGCTTTTCAAATTATATCAACATTTTTAACTATTTTTTATTGTTTTTCAAATTAAAATGAACTTTTTTTAAATTTTTGTTTATTAGTTTATTAATAATAATAAAGCAAATTATTATACAAAAATAAATAACATGGTTCCATTATTTCCTTTTGAGGAATATTTCCTGAATGGTTCATTGATATCATACCTATTGCGGATTTGTAAGATATGTACATATATCTCTAATTTTCAATATTAAAAAAATGTGGATTCGGTTTGCACGATTTTCGATTTACACGGTAGTTTTGACGAACCAATTTAACGTGCAAATCGAGGGTTGGGTGTATTCATAATGTCTTTATATCTAACAAGTCCCAATACTCAATTTTTTTTACGAAATGTTACGAATTTTTGGCCTCGTTGTTGGTTTTTTCTTTAAATGCCACTGATCGTGTCATATTTTTTATTATTTTTTTCTTTTTTTTTACGTAAAAAAGAGATTAATATTTTAAAAAATCTCAGGATATTATACACATTTTTTAAAAAGCTTCCCATTTAAATTCTATTGCACGAAAAAGAAAGAAAGGTAGGAGGAAATAAAAAATGAAAAAAAATTTGAAATTCATATTTCAGTATGGTTTGAAATGTTAATGAGGAAGGATGTACGATTTTTTATGCACATTTTGTATTTCCCAATAAGGTAAGTTGAGTAGTGTCGGCTAACAAAAGTGTTATTAAAAGTAATATAGGTTGACACATTTCAACAATTTGAATTATCTCATTTCGATTATTCATACGTTACTCATAAAATTGTTTCAAATAATTTCAGTTAGTTTTTAAATTATTAAAAATAAATATGTATGTACCTACTTTCAATAATTTTTTTTTTAAATAATTATTTTAAAACTATTTCAAACATGTTATATTGAGTGCTTCAAAAATTTTGCTGTGCTCTTTTTTCATATTTTATTAGCAGGTAAACAAGAGCAATCTATTTATAAAATGTCACTGCATGTGTATGTATGACCTATCTTAATTCTAAACGGAAAGAATTTTAAAATACATGAACAAAAATTTTAAAATACCTGTTATTTTACAGTCGGAATTTTCGAGTCATTTGGTAAAATACCATTTATTTCAAAAATAGAAAAATATTCAAATCCGGTCATAAAAATATATGACTGTTTTTTCCAAACATTTTAAATATTTTTTTTTCTTAGGTAATTGATATAAATGATAGTAAGTTTTTAATATTTTTTCAAATAAAAATAGAGGTAAAATTTTGAAGTTTATATAAAATTTGTATTTAACAAATAATATTTGATTGTATTTTAGATATTATTTTCTAATTCCCTCTTCAAATTTTTTCTTTACTATGTATTTATATCAATATTTAAGAATTATCTTTCATTAATTATATTTTCAAATTGACACCACAGGTACTTCCCATATCTTGCGTTAACTTACCCTATGAGAAAAAAAAGCTGTTCACTTAAAAATAATGAAATGCTTTCAGTAACAAATAAAACGTTGAAGGCGAAGGTTGTGTTTGTTGTTTTTCCGCTTTTTTTTAAATTTTAAAATAATTATCAATGAAAATATTAATGTATTTTTTTGACTTTTCAAATATATGTTCTAAATTTTACCTGCCTTATAATAAATGTGAATTTATTTTAATATTTCTGCTCAAAAAATAGCCACTTCGATTTAAAAAAGTCCATATAAAATAAGGTGTGCTTTCAAGTTTCTCTCTGAGCATTGGGACTTGTTAGATATAAAGACATTAGTATTCATATTATAAAAGCGAAGCGATTTAAAAACAAATTTTACATATTACATATATGTATATAATTTGAAAAAGACAAATAATAACAAAATATTTAAAATTTGTAATTAGTAATTGTCATTACATTTACTGTAATATAAAATATGAATTTCTTATTTTTATTTCAATTTTGTTTTAAAAATTTAAAACAAATATTTCTTATGAATATTTATACATACACGCGTATCGGTAATAGGCATTTTTTTTTACAAATTGCTTAATTTCTATGCCTCGTCTACATAGCGGCTTGATGTGAAATCAAACTCAACCAGCGTTTTTAGTATGTTAGCTTAAAAGCCCAAAAACGACGTTTAGCTATTAAATTTCAAATCATTATTAATATTTCAATTCAAGTAAACGACTTGAGTGAAGCCTTCAGGTCAAGTAACGTTTATATAGACAAAAATAAACTTGAAGCTGCCATATAAGCGGAGTACATACATATTACTACATCATATTGCGTATCTATCTTGAATGGGTATGTACCGTATAACAAAGTATGAAATTTTAAATTTATAACTATTTTTTTCATACATTTGATTTTTACCTAACTTTTGTGAAATGAAAAATAAAATATGAAAAAAAAAAATCAAAATATAAATAACAAAATTTTTACCTAACTTAATTTAATTTTATTTCAGTTCAATGTTTTTGACACACTCGTTTGTTTACAATATTTTGTTTCTCTCTTGCCTACACAACTCTTATTACCGTCTGTTTCTAAATAAAAATGGAATAAACTACTTATTAATATACATATGTTTGAAAATAATTCACTTTGACTTATTAGTTCTAAAACAACATCGCGGTCTAAATCAATTTTTTTTCTAATTTTTAGTACTTCGCCCGGTATAAATTGTTAAACCTGTCATGTAATTAGAAGTGATGCTAGATCGTAAGGCTTTTTAAATTATACTAGAAAGTTCAATGTGCATTGCGTACGATTTATCGGACACTAATATTTACATATAAATAATCACCAAGCACAATTTATATATTCATCAACATAAATATCACAAAAAGTTTAACACAAGATAATAAAAACTATGAAAAAATAAATTATATACTTCCCCAGTTTTGCAAAGAGAAAAATCACGACGCGCCATTTCAACTAAATGTCATTTTTGATTAACTTATAAATTTAAAAATAAACAAAAATAGCACTAGCAACATAAAAAATATATTTTTAAACACAATAAATGAAAAAAAGTGTCAAAAATATTTATGTGTCATCTGGAAGAGTGGAAAATACAATCGTCCGATAAATCGGACCTTATACTGTTTTATTTTAATATACACTCATGCCTTAATTTTGTTTCAATATTTTCGAAAATATTTGAGCTTTTGCAATTCGTAGCGTTTTTAATCAAAGAGGAAAAAAATAGTTGCATAATAGCTTAGTAGTAACAAAAAAAAAGTGCGGAGTCGTAGCGTTAATGATATGATTTCTTATGTGCTTTATAAAATTTGCAACAAAAAGAAGTAATATTTTGAGACTTTAATTTAATATAATTCTTCATGAATAAAAATAATGCTTTCAAAAAAGCAACTTTAGATTGAGGTCAAGAAAATACATTTTGAAAATCAGCATACACTGATTCTCGTAATTTTATATTATTTACAGAAATTCTCATACACATACGTAAGTATGTGTACGAGTATGTACACACATACGTATGTATTTAATATAAGGCGAGCGCATTTTTGTTGCACGTTATTGTAGCTATTTCATAGCTTCGGTCAAATATCCAATATTTTCGTTTTCATAGGCAGGATTTTCTATTCCATTTCTATTTCAATTTTTTTTTAATTTAGTTTTCATTACTTCTATTGGTTTTGACATTTATAATTTTATTAAAAAATAAATAATTTCTTGATATCCAAAAGTTCACTCAATTTTCTATTTCCCATTGTATTTCTACTTCCCAACCCATCGGGGATAATTGCCGGATCATGCTGCAAAAATTTTTTTTCCAAAATATTTTTTATAATTTATTGTTTTTTTTTTTTAATTTTCAGGAACATATGGCTGCACACACTGGACAATCATTGTATTCCTGTCCGCACTGTTCCAAAACTTTTACTCATAGTTCAAATATGCATCATCATAGGAAACTAAAACATCCTGTCGAATTTGAGTTAGCTCGAAAAGCAAAAGATAATAAAAAAGAGACTTGGAAAGAGTTTACAAGTTTGAATATGTAGACGATAACTTACTTTACATAAAATCACGGCTGACAGAAATACAGGCCTGGACCCTAAGAGAGAGTGACAGTTAACATCATAAATCTCCCACAAGATCAACTTTTTTCAAACTTTTATTTAGAAAAACTTAAAATTCAATCTTTTTCTATTTTGCTAGTGCAAAATTTTGTTAAAATGCTACAAAAAAATTTTTAAAATTTTTTAAAATGTTAAAAAGGCAAAAAAAAATTGCCTGTTTTTTTTTTTTTTTTGTGAAAACAGGCAATTTTTTTTTTTGTGAAAATTCGAGCAGATTTTTTGTTTTCCTCAATTTTAAAAATTGAACATTTGGTATAAATAAATGCAATAAAATAAATTTATAATTGTAAGTAAGTAGTTATCCCCCTTTCCACATCACCTTGTGGAGGTAGAGGATATTTCGCGTTTTTTTTGTGGTATCTCCAGTAGGCCTAATCCACTCATTTACCTAAAATTAAAGCATATTAGTAAAATTTCAAGAAAAGTTTAGAAAAAGTAAAAAAAATACATTTATAAAATTTTAAGAAAAAATAAATAAATAAATAAAATATTTTCTAATTTTCCGAAAAGCAACTTGCTGTTAAATCACAATTAATTTTTAATCTACAATTTAAGCTCACACCCGAAGTTATCATTATTTTCTAAAATCTATAATACAACGCAGAAACTATTTTTAAATACTAACCAGCCATCTAACACAATATTTTCATTGATTTTGTGTACTAAATAATTAAAATTTATTATTATGTCGTCGCTATTTCCTATGGTTACCAGGCAATAAAAACATGTTTTTTGAAAATGTAAATGGCAAACACCACTACTCTCAACTGGTTCCAATTTTTTCTAGGAATAGCCTCAATCCATGCCTTCCTACAAATCTCCTCGTTAGGAAGCTTAAAAACTGGAACATTTTTCTTTATTATATTTTTATTATGTTTATTTTTATTATTGGACGGACAACCAAGAACCGCGCATTTGCGAACCATAATAATATGAATATAATATAAAAATCACTATAATGATAAAGCTTAAAATCTAATATATAATTTTTTTTAAATTTATTTTAAAATAAACAAAATAAAAATTTTGCAGAAAAACTTTTTTCTTAATAATATGCACAGCAAAAATATTTTTTTATTCACTGTGTGAAAAAAAAAGCTTTACCTTCGTAAAAATTCCAGAACGCTGTTTTTTTAAAACTTTCATATTTCCTTTAAATATTCCTCTAGAAAGTTGATTTTTTCACCAGTTAAAAGTACAAACTTTAAATTTTCTTCTAATATGAAATTTTTATATTTTTCATGAAAATAATACAAAAACTCAATTCAAAAATTAAAATCTTACTACCTTACAAAAAAATGCGACCAAAACTCGGGGGAAAGAAATGCGGGGAAAATATATTTAATCAAAATTATAACTTAATTATTTAATTTTGAGTTGAAATTTGAATTTTTGATATGTTGTTCAGAAAACTCTAAATTTCATTTTAGTACAAAAATTTTTAGGTTTTAGTCTGCTTTTCGTATAGAAAACTCGAAACGAAAAATCATCTGTGAAAAATGAAAATTTTGCAAAAAAACAACAAAAAAAAATGATTCTTCAGAAAAGTCATTTCGCCAAAAATACTTTATGCAATTTTACTAATACATTCACAAAAAAAGCAGGATCCAGGCCTTGATATTTTGTAATGTCAAGCATAAAATGCTTAAAACATTAGAAAATCACAAGAAGTCAGTACCAGAAATAAGGAAATACTAAATTTTTCTTTTTTTTTCTTTTTTTTTTCTACTAGGTGAAAGAATCTCGAAAGATGAATAAGAACAGCTCTATCTGTGGGAGAGCGTAACTCCTACCCTAAAAAATTACCTAAATTCTGAACGAATAAAACTGGTCCTACAGACCAACTATTACCTCCGCGCTAACTTGGTTTTTCCGTACAGGAATTATACACTTTCCATAAGGAAATTGGTATTTCGTGTTAAATCGAATGGTCTTGTTCGTTTAAGTCTTTCTGTTATAACGCCATTATCTAGCAGCCGAGCTATGCTTTGTAGCACAACTCCCGATTTCATCCACAACCAAAGGAATTTCTAAGTCCCTGTGAATATCACTGTTACGTATATACCATGACGCATTTACCATGCCCCGTAGAACTTTATTCTGGAAGGTTTGAATTTTGTTAATGTGAGTCTTCTTGGCACAATCCCACAATTGAATGTCATATCGCCATATTGGTTGAATGATTTGGTTATAAATTAATATCTTATTATCAATTGCCAAATTGGGCTTACGGCCTAGGAGCCAATAATTTTCTCTATATTTATTTTCTAATTCTATGTGTTTCTTCTTTATATGCTCTTTTCACCTTAGCTTGACATCCAAAGTTATTCCTAGGTATTTTGCTGAGTTATGGATCGCTACGTTCGTTCCATTTACATTAATTTGTGGTAGACTATTTTCCGATTGGTGAAGTTTTTGTGAACCGATTTTGCTTCATTCAACCTTACCTTTCAATCTCTAGTCCACTGGCTTATTTTGTTAATTGCCGCCTGTAATTTTTTTGTCGAATCGTCAATGTTCGCTCCTACTGCCAATATTGCAGTATCGTCAGCAAAAGTGGCTATCGTAGCATTTTCTATTTGTGGCCAATCACTCGTGTAAAGCAAGTACAACGTTGGGCCCAATATACTGCCTTGAGGCACACTTGCCTTTATTTCTCTTAGCGTGGAGTATTCAGAATCTTGTTTAATTCTAAATAATGTATCAGCTAAAGAAGATTTCAAAATTTCTACAAATGACGATGGTAACATTTGCCCTAACTTAAGTATAAGGCCTTTGTGTCATACCTTGTAGAATGCCTGTGCTACGTCTAGAAACATAGAAGAGCAGATTCCTCTATTTTCCAAGCTTTTTTCTATAATATTAGTTATTCTAAGGACCTGGTCTATTGTAGAATTGTTTCTTCTAAAACCAAATGGACAGACATGTCTAAATCAACGCGGAATTTTACGCTGAGTAAGAATATATATTTATGTCCATACCGGAGACGGCTCCTTTAAGTGGTTACAAACTCCATACCAAAGTGAATATACCCTTCACGAAGTGCAGGGTATAATGAATACATATGTCCATACTAGTCGTTTCTTCTTTCACTATTTAAATTCTCCCTCATACTTACTAAATTTTTAGAATCCGACATTTTACGAGGTGAACATTTGAATCTACCAATAAAAGAAAAAATTTTCTCTTTGTCATTCATCTATTGGATTTCAAGCGATACACATATAACTAGAGCGCACAACTAAATGGAAAATTATACATATAAATTAAAAATAATCAGAATTATACATATAAATTAAAAATAAATTATATATATATATATTATTCTATAATTGAAAAAAATTGTACATATTGCTTTTTTTATTTTTAAATAATCACGAAGTTTTCAGATTATTTCCTTTTATTTTATATTCTTCTTTCTTCAAAATTTTACTACGCATATGTATATACGACAATGAATCCACTTTTTAATGAACAATGTGGAAACAAAGCAGAATCAAAATTTTGTGGAAGAAAGAAGAATAATGTGAAAGGAGCTAATAACTTAATCAAAAACTTATTAAAATATCTATTAATAAGTAGTTTGACTCGTTCCATTTCGTTAGTTTTCGTATGCATTTTGCTTCCAAGTTCATGAAATATTCGATTTTTATTTAGAAATAGATAGTACAAAGCGTTGTATAGGCAAGAAAGAAACAAAATGTTGTAAACAAACGAGTGTATCAAAAACATTGAACTGAAATAAAATTAAATTAGGTTACTTAGTGTTTACACCTACAAGTTACTTGCAAGCAAGTTTGTATAATATTAATTGTCAATTAGTTTTTCGAAATGTCAAATTACTTGCTATTATGACGTAGGCGTTTAGCAAGTTAATTTTTGAAAATGTCTTTGAGAAGAAAACAACTAGCAATAGCTTCGGTAGTTATTTTAAGCGAATTAAAACAGTTATTAAATGAAAATGAAAAAAATAAAAAAAAGGTAAAAAGGACGATTTGGGTAAAACCACTTATACTACTTAATCGAATGGAATATGACCATAAGTTTGCTAAGTTTAATTTTTTCAAAACAAAATTCAAAAATTAAAAAAAAAATCAAAACAACAAATTTTTTTTTGTGAATTTCTCAATATGTCAAATTACATGCTCAAATTACTGGCAGCAAAATATTCTTGCAAGTTGAACTGCAAGTAAACAAGCAAGTAGAAATATTTCAATGTGTTAGTAAAATTTTTTTATGTATTGCAACATTCTTGCAAGTAACTTGTACGTGTAAATGCTAGGTTAGGTAAAAATTTTGTTATTTTTATTTTGAAAATAAATTTTTTTTTTTCATATTTTATTTTTCATTTCATAAAAGTTAGGTAAAAACATTCGAATGTATGAAAGTAATAGTTATAAACAAAGTATATCTACTAATAAGTAGTTCGACTCTCCGTTTACATCACACTAATGTAATCACTCACCAATATTTGTATACAAAAAATTCCCTTAGTTAAAAGAGTTAAGCAGTATTCTTATTTTCATTTGTATGCACATAAGAATTTTTGGGAGAGGGAAAGAGTACGCAATAGATGTCAACCTGTTTTTTTATAATGCATTTTTAAAAGCGGGAGTTATTTATTTTATCCTATATAAAGTATAGGGAAAAATATTAAGAATTTTAAAAGCGACACAATAATTTCTGTAATTCATTCCAGTACAAGGTGGCAAAATAGGTGTATTCATATAAAATATTTTTCAGTTAAAGAATTTAGAAAACACTTTTATTAAACTTTTTAATGATATTTGTACAGAAAAAAATTTAGAATGTAAAATATATGAACACTTAAAAATAATTTCATCTATGAATGTTTGAGAATTAGAATTTACCACATAATAAAAAGTTTTAATAAAACTATAAAACAATTTGATATAAAACAAAAAATTTTTAGTGTTAAGCATTTGTAATTAATAATTATCAATAAATAAAATAAATAAATTATCTTTAAATTTTTTACTTTTATTTTAATCTTAATAAATTTAGAACATATTTTCCATGAATTGTTAATAATTATATTTCATAAAGTAATCAAATGATAATGTGTATCTATTGTAACAGGTACATGCATGTGTACATTCATACCTGAAATTTCAAACTCTTTTGCTTTCATACATTCGAATGTTTTACCTAAATTTTATAAAATGAAAAATAAATTTTGTTATTATCAAAATAAAAATAACAAAATTTTTACCTAACTTAATTTAATTTCATTTTAGTTCAAAGTTTTTGATACACTCGTTTGTTTACAATATTTTGTTTCTTTCTTGCCTACACAACTCTTATTACCGTCTATTTCTAAATAAAAATGGAATATTTTAAGAATTTGGAAGGAAGATGCAAATGAAAACTAACGGAATGGAACGAGTCGAATTACTTATTAGTAGATATACTTTGGTTATAAATTTAAAATTTCATACTTTGTTATACGGTACATACCTATCAACATCTATGTACTCCGTTTATATGG